TTTTACATAATATCCTTTGCTAGGATTTTTTATCTTTTTGGTTGTTAGTTGTTCAAGTTGTATTGTGATGTTGCTTCTATTTCATCTGATTTTTGATTGCCAGCATTTGGGTTTGTGTCTTTCTCAGAGATTTGTTTTGTAAGTTGGCATTTCATTGTTGTTTGATGCTTTGATAGGGGTATCTTATATGGGTTTAGATTTGTTAGTGCTATTGTTACAGTGTTTTTGTTCATATTGGATTATTGCTTAGCATTTTTCAGTATGTTGTTAGAGTTGAGGTGGTCTTGTTTTATTAATGGGGTGTGGTGGGATTCCTGTAGTTGGTATTAGTGGTTTAAGTTGTTTGAGTATGAAATTTCATTGCTTCAGATATTGTTTTATTTATGGCAAGGCTGGTAATATTTTATTTGTATTTATAGTGCTGAGTGAGTTTTCATCTTTTGATGTGTGGAAATATCTTTAATGTTTGATTAATTCTCAGATTGTTTATAGTGAGAGAGTGTCTTGGTCATTGGGAGAGATATTTTTTGTATTATTTTTTCCATCGGATTAGCCATTTTTTATTCTTATAGTTTTCATCTTCATATTGTTCTCTCATTTGTTCATATACATGAGTTCTTTGCTTTGTTTTCAATTAATTTTTTTGGTCCATTTCCTATTCTGCCAGGAGTCTTGAAATTGTTTTTTTTTTCTGTTATGCGAATTGTTCTATGGTTTGGACTCTATTTGCAATTAGATGTCTATTTCAGTTGCTGTTCTTCTTATCATTATGATTATTAGCTGATGCAGTTCTTAAGGGATACTTAGTTTAATGTAATCGTTGGTATTTAATTTTTGATTCATTCTTTGTTTTCAATATTTTTTGTTTTTTTATATGTCACTCATTTTCTTCTCGTGCATCATGGGGTTTACAGTTTATTAGGTTGTGTTATGGTCGTATATTCTTAAAAAAGTTGGTGAGTTGTCGTGGTGTTTTATTTGAAATATTAGTGACTGATTGAATTGTTAGTCTTAGACATTTTGTGGAGGCGTCAAAACTATTTTGCTTTGGAGTTTAATTTGCGGATAGTGTGCTGTCATTGAATTGGTGAGCGGAGTGAGTTTATTTTGCTTGCAAATATTTGTATCTTGATTTCTTTTCGTATTTTACAATTGTTGTTGTACATACTTCTGATTACATTATTTGAATGTGGAACTTGGTTTTAGATATTTTTTTTTTTTTTTTTTGGACTTTGTTTTCTATGTTGGGTAGTCATTCCTATTATCTTGTATAGCTAAGGGTGCGGTTAGCTAACAGTCACTCATGTTCTTGTACTTTCTACTTTTTAGAGATTGGGGATCACGCTTCTATCTTTTAATTTGGTCGATTGTTTTTATGGCAGGGATACAGTATCCTGGCTTTGGTGAGATTGTTTTTCTTGGATGGTTGTGATGAACTTCCATTATTAATATTTTGACATTTTAAGTTAGGTTTTTAATTTTGGTGGTACAACTTTTTATATATACAATGCAATTGATTTAATTATTAATAATTTATTTTTTATTCTTATTTATTATATATTTTATATTATATTATATATATTATATTTATATTATTATTATATTATATTACGATTATATTTTTTAAGTAGAAATTTGTAACCGATTATGACCAATAGGCTAGGTTTATTTTGAAAATAAATTAAATTAAATTAAAAAATATGGTAAAAAATTCCACCAATAATGCGAACTAAAATAAATTAAATTAAATTACAAAAAAATAAAAAAGAATCAATCGAATTATGAAAGTCCGTTAAGTCAATATTGGAATTTGTACTGCTACCCGAAACAAAGAAATCATTTAATTCATTAATATCACACTCATATGTCATTAAATCAATCCCAACACAGACAGCACCCCTATGAACCGTCCAAACAGCAGATGAATCAAGCCCCCCAAAAAAATTTAAAAAAATGTAACCTCTTTACTCTACGAATAACGTTTTTGGCTTTATTTCGAAGCTTACAGAAAACTCTCCAGTTACTCTCTGTGCGATTAGACAAATAGGCTCTATACTTTGGGCAAATAGAATTTCTTTACATTTCATCCAATTTATGTTTTTACGACAAATTCCCTTTTTAACTACCGCAACACAAAAAAATTAAGTTTAATAGAGAAGTAACGGTGATGTTGATTCAAGAACTCAAGTAAAAAACATTCCTTATTCACATGAATATTTATCAAAAATATTTAGTTATTTAAAACAAAAATCAATTTACTCCTCAAATACATACATATGTACATAATATTTACAGAATAAATCAATATATAGTTATTTCGAATCAAATGAATAACCACATAAAACTGATTACTCAATTAGAGTACCTATTTGGAATACAGAAACTTGTTATCATAAGCATTTAGCAATAAATACAATTTACATGTGATTACAGAAAGTTTTGGGACCATTAACAAAAGTAAGTATAAACATCAGTGACAAGACAATGAATGTAATATGAAAAAAGTAATATAAAACTCTCATGTAAGCATGTATGTACGTTAATTTAAACTCAAAGAGTGCAAAAAAAAACAGATTTAAAATACTAACGGGCATCATCCACCAAATCTGCACATTGAGAAGGACTATAGACCACCTCAGAATCATCAGGCAATGTTAATTTAACTCTCAATCTGTCACTATTCATTATTCGGAACTTTTTAATTAGGTATTTACAAATCAAATCATATTAAGCCTGCTAGCAGCAAGAAAGTAGTGGTCATTCAAATAGACTCTTAAACCAACATCACCATCCACAAAATCACGAACCTTCAAAGACCGAGTTTTAAAATACTGACTCATTATTTTATCCCGAACAAAGATACTATTGAATTTCACCAAAATAGACTTCCTTTTATTTATATAGCCAATATATTGTATGTCAGATGTGCAAATTTGAACATCAAATATTGTTCCTAATTTCATAATAACAGGCATCAGATCATTTATACCGGCAGGCAAACCAGTAACTATAATGTTAGTACGGTTAAGCCCGTATTTTCCTCCTCTAAAGCAGTAATTTTGTTGGAAGTTGATAACTCACTTTTCATTTCCTTAATGCAAGAAGCAATCTCTGTTTTCAAGGAAGCAACAGTAACCGCCAACGCATTCTTAATCGATGTCTGTTCACTATCAACCTTGCTTATAAAGTCATCTATTTTGCAATTAGGTGAGCTAATTTCATTTTTCAACATAGTCTCAAATCCGGACCGAGGATCATTATTCCAAGAGGTATAAGTAAAATATAACCTGCTATCTTTCAACACTGAAAGAACCTTTTCAGAAATCTTGGTGCATGCAATGTGAGACCACTGGGCACATTCTTTACATTGAATGCTAGTTTGGTTCTTGTTAATGTTATCATTGCAGGAACCGCATTTAAAAGTTTTAGTTAGATGCAACAATTTATATTTTAGTTGTTGTAAATAAACAAAAGTAAATTTGGCAACAAAGCAAATTAACAACAGCAAGCAGCAACAGATAGCACCGGTACTAGGGTTGCTAGCCTGGCTAGACTTGGCTGGATTGTCCAGCTTTATTGATGATGGTCCAGTTTCAAGCTAAAATTTAATTTGGCATAACTTACCGACTCTAAACGGCTGCGATTTTCATAATATTTAAACCAGGTGTAGCAAACTTAATTTAAAATTGTTTGGTGTCAAAATTTTTTCTTGCTCTCATTTGGTTTAGGAGTTTCAGACAATTAATGATTTATAATATAATGTAGAATATCTTCCGCATTATCTATCCAAATTTTACTTTTTATATGTATAACATAACCCCTTCCATTAACCCATTGAACGCAATCTCGAAAAAATGTGACTTTTATTTAGGATTTTTATGCAAATTTAAGAATTTCTCTTTAATTTACGATATGAACACAACATATAAACTGAAAAATTGAATAGGAGATAGAATGAGCTTTCATTTGATGTACACTGCAAATTCCTAGCCCATTTAATGAATTAAAAACTCAATATTTTTTTTAATTAATTCATTTATTTCGGACGTTTAGTTATTATATTCATATTTAAATTGAAAAATATGATTTGCTTAAACAAAATCATACTTTTTCATTCGATATATTTATATTATGAGACCCCAACCAATTAAAATATTTATTATTAAAATATAATTTTTAAATACATAATTGCCTTTTTGTTAGGAATTTTCTCTGTGGGATACAACAGCGACTATGGCGCTTTTCCAGAGAATACAACAAAAACTTCATAAAACTTTTTAATTATTTCACAAAATGTTAAGAATTTTTTTTCTGTGGGATAAAATAAAAAAATTAAATCCTTTTTGCATCTGCGACGCTTTTTAACCCATTAGTGCATCACGTTTTTTTTTGTTAGTCTACACTTCAGGATTCAACTATATATATTTTCGGCATTTAAAGGGTTAACTATGTTACAGGCACCAAATGAAAGCTTTTCGAATTATGGGCACTTTTACAAAAAAAAAAAAACTCCTTTTTATACTTTTGGCACTCAATGGGTTAATAATTCATATAACATTGAACATCACCTGAAAGCTTTTCGAATTATGGGCACTTTTACAAAAAAAAAAAAACCCCTTAACTTTATAAATCCTTTTTTTGAACGTCTATAACTCCATAACTATAAGAGAGCACCAAAAAAATAGTATCGTTACATTCCGTATTAAAAGTACGATCAATGGAAAAAAAATTAAAAAATTTGGAGCCGTTTAGAGTCGTTAAGGAGTTCCTTTAATTTGACCAGCTAAATAGAATTTTTTTTAGTACACTGCAATAACATGGGCAATAATTTTTATGTTATCTTTGTCAAATCATGTTAGCCAACACTGATTGTACATTTGTTAAATATAATATATATATATATATATATATATATATATATATATATATATATATATATATATATATATATATATATATATATATATATATATATAAGACCAATAGTATATATTACTTACCTCTTGACTGCTTACAAAATGATATTGACTTAAATTAGGAGCTGTAAACTGTGGGCACTGTATTTGATCTGGTTGCTGTTGGTAATAACATGGCGTTCTTTGTTGAAGAGGGTGAGGTTGTAGTGATTTCTCCAAGCACATTTTTTGATTAAATAAATGTTGTTTTAGCAACATATTTCGATGAACATTAGTTTCTTTGTTTTTGTCTAAAATATTTGGATGCATTTGTACGTCTGCGCAAAAAAAAAATAATTCATAAGAATTTTCAATTTATACTTATTTTATTAGATAAACTCTTTAAGTTTATTCAGAAAATAACAGTATACCTTTGAAAGGTTTAACTACTTACCCATAACAGCCACTTTATGAGGACCGGCATTTGCTTTAATTTGAAAAGTACCACTTTTGGGACTGGTGATTTTTGACTTATCTTTTGGAGAGTGTGTTTTCTGTTGGGCGGAAGATTTTTGATGTATTTGTTGGAGTCCAATACCATCATCGATAACTCCATTCGTTGGTGGATTAATAACAGATGTAGCTAAAGTATGACTTTGGTCGGAACGATTTTTAGGATTTAACATTAATGTAAGAGGAGAAACACTATTATTGGAGCCACCCGTGTTATAAGCACTGGATGAATTATCCTGATCTTCGAGTTGGCAATTACCAGGAAGAGTAATATTGCCTACAATACAGTCAACCGATCCATTCGTCAATGTAGTTATAGCACTTCGAACTGTACCAGTCCCACTTTTGTTAAAAAATGCTGAGGAGCGTCCTCCTCCATAACTGCTACGCACAGACTGCCGAGGAGCAGTCGTTGCACAAAGATCCTGTAAGGGCTTAATACCCAACCATTGCGCAACTCGCTGTTTTTGTTGTAAATGCTGCAAAGCATCGGTAATAGTTGAAGAAGAACATGATGTCATGGCATTAACATAAACCGAACTATCATAAGGTGAGCAGTAAAATGGCTCAGATTCAGGATCTTCGGGGATCGTTTCATATATATGTTCAGTTTCATAGTCATCGTGTGTTTTAACGCCTGGGATTGTTTCTATTTTGGCTGAATTCGATTTTAAATTCTTCCCAGATTTTGTGCTTGAAGATGATCCAGTTATCCAGGATTTCCTTTCATTTTTCACAAGCTTTTCTTTTTGACCATCACTGGTAGACTTGAGACTCGTACTTTGATATGCTGAATTTGAATGGGTCATAGAGGTAGAAGTATTTATATTGCATTTCTCTCTTAACTTTTCCAGTTTTTCTCCAGTTTGTTGCAATTGTTCTTGTTGGGCTACTTGTGACATTAAAGCTTTGTCGAGTTCTTCAGTAGCGTTAATACAACAATCGTTATTTATCACACAATTAACATACGTCATGTTATTATCCTCATAGAATTCATCATCTTCATCGTCATCGTCTTCGTCGTCCTCTACAACAAGAACTTCATCATCATCTTCATTTGTTGAAGGATCATTAAAATCATCCTCATCCTAATACATAAACATAAAATAATTAATTGCACACAATATAATAAATCCAACTGAGAAATTCTTACAGCATATAAATATCTGCTAACCAATAACGTAACAGCATTATTGTTTTCCGCAATTAGTGTTTCTGTCTCCGGACGGGTTTTTATGTCCTTACCGTTTATTTGTAATATTTGATCGCCTTGTCTTAGACGCCCATCACGTCCAGCAACACTATCTGGATGGATATCACTGATATATACTTCGGTTACAACTGTTTCATTATACATTTCTGCACTGGTATTACCTCCACCTTCCGCATAATCGTCAGTATTGCTATAGCATACAGTTATTCCCAAACGTTCATTACTATCAGATTTTCTTAATGTTATTTCCTAAAAGGAAAAAAAATATTAAAATTGTTCTTTTAATTACTAAACATCAAGATATATGTATCAGACCTGGGATAAATGCGTTAAATGTGTTAATGCATTAACAATTTTTTCAACATTAAAGAAAATTATGTTAATGCAAGTTTATTGCATCAACATTAACATGGGTACTTTTAATGCATTAAATTTGCATTAACATGAAATATTTTTTACATTAACATTAAATATTTTTGAAATTAATGCATTAATTTTGCATTAAATATTTTTGAATTTAATGCATTAATTTTCCATTAACATTAATGTATAAAATAATTTATAAAAATAAAAATACAGCGCTATATATATATATATATATATATATATATATATATATATATATATATATATATATATATATATGTATTTAATGTTAATGTAAAATTAATGCACTAAATTCAGAAATATTATTTACATTAAATTATTTTTTTTCTAACTAAACTCAAGTAAAATTGAATGTGTTATATATATATATATAATATATATATATATACATATATATATTAATTAATAAATTTTTTTTTAATTTCATGTTAATGCAAAATTAATGGAAATAGCCCAGGTCTGATATATATGATGTTTTTTGAGGTATTATAAATTCTCTAAAATTAATATTCATATGAATTCATGTGATATATGTATATTTTTTGACAAACAATAATAAATAGATATCTCAAAACTGTATAATACACACTATTATTTCTACAAAATTTGGATTTTAAGACTTACTTCAATATCTATTTCTGGGGCCAAACTCTGCTCAAATAAATTGTGTTCATGCTCTATAAGACGTTCTGTATCTTTTTGTATGTTACGTAGATGTTCGTGCACATAAAAAGCTATATCTTCAGTCTGCGTAGATTTTGCCATACAATATTGTTGAAGAGTTGAAGTTGGCAAGTGCAGATTAACAATTATATCCGAACCTATTGTTGTTGAAGAAGAATTATTATCTACATTATTATCTAACAAAGGGGCATTGTGATGAATTTTTAGATAACACAGTTTTTTGCTAATTTCGATATCATCGAAGTCTACATTCTGGTTTGTATTCCAACAAGATTTTCGCTTTAATTCCAGCACTACGTTATCAGTCTCTTCATTTAACAGCATGCTTAGAGCAGTCTTTTGCTGCTGTTGTGGCAATTGACTAACATCAATATCATTAATCTGCAAAAAAAAAAAAAAAAATATTTATTCCTTATTAATTATATATTCACTCAAACCTTAATTTATGCGATTAATGCGTTTCACATTAATCTGCAAAAAAAATATTTATCCTTATTTTTTATTTTATTTATTTATTAAGTTTATTCAGTAATACAAAGCCTTCAAGGCCAAACTTATATATTACTTAGCAATAATACTAAGCCTAAAATATTTACAAAGTGTGCTATAATAAATAACACAAAATAATATTCAATCAGAATTTATCCTATTTATAACGGTTCCCCAACCATAATGTACAAAGAAAATTAATAAAATTAATAAAAGGTCCAAATTAATAGCAACAATGAAAATAAGAAAATTCACTATAATAAATTTCACATTAAATCAGCATAATCAAATCTGAAATATAAAATGTATTCAATGTTCTCAAGCACGAACGAACAATAAATGTAACTAATACATAATAATTCAGAGTAAAAAGAGAACAACATATACATTATGCAGCTTCATAATTTGTGAACAAATTTAAAAGTTTGAGACGGAAAACATTATTTGTATGAGAGAAAACACGTAATTCAACTGGTAAAAAATTCTAACAACGAGACACCAAAATCTGAGGATTTCTAGTCGATCTACTAAAAGTGAATTTATTAAACAATTGTGATGGACATCCAGATCTAATAATCTTATGAAAAGTGATCATACTCCGAAGTTTAATAAAATCTGAAAAGGAACATTTTAAAAAATTTCTAACATAAAGTGAAATATGATCTCTGCGCCTTACATTGTATACAAATCTCACTATTGTATTGACAATACGATTAATCTTAGATAAATCCACAGAGCTAATGTCAGATATAATCTCAATCCCATATAAGACTTGAGACATTAGAAGAGAATACTCTAATTTACAGCTAATATGTTGAGGATAAAATGCATTAGTAGAACATAATTTACGCAAAGTTTAGTTTAGTTCCAGAATGATCCCCAAGAATTTCATTTGCTCAACAAACTCGACACGCACACTACAAATATAAATATCCAAATTTACATTAAATCTACCAAAACGACTAAAAATTGTGTCTTTAGTTTTTAAAGCATTAGTCGCAAAGAAATTACGTGTTGTCCAGTCACAGATAAGCCGAATGGAATATTTAATGTTACTTTGAAGAACATCTACAAATTCTCGTGTACAACTAAAAAGTAAAACCACATCGTTAGCATATATAAAAGTTCTACATAAAGAAGTATACGGACCCTTGAGGAACACCAGAATGAAGTTGTAATATATCTGACTTTTCTATTCCTTATTTGAAAAGTATGTAAGTAATACACGCGTTCTTTTTTAATAATTCAATACATCTTTATTCAACGAACATAAAATTAAGAATAACAATAGAAAAAGGAAAAAGTGTTGCCATATTAATATAATACCAACAATGGGTCATAACAGTCTACGCTTAATAGGATCTTGTCATTTTGAAAAAAATCAATTCGAAAATAAATTAATAAAATAGTACATAATTTTTTCTGGAACGTAATCTTGAAGATATGTTGGCCTATTGCGTAATCTTGCAGATCTACGAATAGTTTGCTCTTGAGAATTCTGCGCTCCTTGTACCATTGTATGATCTTGAAGTGCAGCATGACTAGTAGTTTCTTGAATTTCCTGGGATTCTGGATTTGACTGATTTTGAAGATTTGGAGCTTCCAATATATACTGGTTATAATCATGAGCCTGTTGATTTTGACGGTTAGTAGAATCAGTATTGTTTCCATCAATGCTTGGGGCAAAATGTACTTCCCGTTTCTGAACATTTGTAATTTTCAGTTGGTCTATTTGGCGTTTAAGCGTATAGCCATCATCCAATTTCACTAAATAATGTAGGTTTCCAAACTTCCTGATTACGTTGCCCATTTTCCATACAGTTTTGTTGTTTCTAATGTGTAGAACTTGCACTCTTTCTCCCACGCCTATTTGACGAACGCCTTTGTAGGTTTTAAAGCATCCAATTTAATTCGAATACGTCTTTTAAAATAGAGTTCAGCTGGACTCTTTCCACAGTTCAGAGGTGTAGTGTAGCTCGATATCTTTGAAGAATTTCGTTAACCTTTTTCTGTATTGAAGCCGGATCGGATGACATTGCTTTCAATTTACGCTTCAGTGTTTGAACATTTCGCTCTGCTAATCCATTTGTACTTGGATGTCCTGGAGCAATTAGTTTTTGGAAAATACCAAATTCGGCATTCACGTGTTCATTAGAAATATTGAAAATTGATTCAAAACACAACTCATTAACTTCTTCATTAATGAGATTATCTGTATATAGCTTTTCTTGAGGCTGCGTAGCACGAGAGAGTCAATCAGCATTAATATGTTCAGAGCCCTTTTTGAAGACAATTTCATAATTGAAACTTGATAAAAATTCTGCGTATCGTAGCAATCTGGCAGATGTTATAGCTGGCATCTTATTGTGTTGATGAAAAATGCGTGTCAATGGTCGATTGTCTGTAATAAGTTGAAACTTTCTTCCGTAGAGGTAATTAAAAAAGTGATTCAATGTAAATACAATTGAAAGTGCTTCACGATCTATATGGCTATAGTTTCGTTCAGCTGTGGACAATGATCTCGATGCATATGCAACTGGACGTTCTATACCATTTACTATATGTAAAAGTACACCTGCTATACCTGTAGGACTGGCATCACATGCTACTATAACTGGAAGTTCTGGATCGAATAGCATAAGTACTTGGTCGCTGGAGATTATATTTTTAAGTTTTATAAACGATGCTTCACAATTTGAAGACCAATAAAATGTCGAATTTTTCTGAAGCAATTAACGTAACGGATAAGTTATTGAAGACATATCTGGAATAAATCTGGAATAATACGTTATCATGCCTAAAAATCATCTAACATCATCGACATTAGCTGGGCGAGGCATATTAACTATTGCATCAATTTTTCCTGGTGACTTTGATATTTCATTATATCTTACAATATGTCCAAGATATTCGAATCCAACACCAGTGTCGACTTAAAATTTTTGGCGGCGTCCATTTATATCAACCTCGACGTAGTATTTATCGATATCATTTACTTTGAATTCATTTGAAAATATATCCACTATTTGGTTGATACCATAAATCTGGTGGATTGTCTCATCATTCTCATGATTTATATTTTCCCTTGAAGATTTGATTAAGGTTTTTATGCACACGCGCTGGAGATGTCCTCTTTTTCCACACGAGTTACATTTGAGGTTATGTTTGTTAGTGCGGCAGTCATTTTTTTTTTGTGGTTGTCTCTACCACAACGTAAACACAAAATTCCCAAATTGGAAATTGATAATTTGTTGGGAATCCCAATTTCCTATAATCTAATCTCGATTTGGAATTGCGTTACGTTGAAGAAGAACGATTTTTTAACCTTCTTCTACGGCGACTTGAGGTACCGGCTAAAATTTTGTTGATGTCAAAAATATTTGAAATATCTGCATTACAATTACATGTTGATCTGAACTCACATTCAATAATGTCCCGACGTTGATCCTCACTTTGATATGTTGACAAAAATCTGTGTTGACTTACTAGAAAGTTCTTCTTCGGACATAAATGTGCCTCCAAGATTTTTATTACGTCGTCATAGTCAACATTATTAATTGTCTTGGGGGCAATAAGCGAAACTAACAACTTGAAGTGTGTAGAACCAATTGAGTTTACCAACATTTGATGACAAAGTGTTTTATTTGCAAAAACACCTTTCATAGTTAAATAATTTTCGAATCGCTGACGGTATAATTTGAAATTTTAATTTTTCTCGTCAGAGTTCTCAAATGGCGGCAACAGCACTTGTAATGGCTGCGTACATTGATTTTGTTGTTGCTGCTGTGATTGCAGGTTAGAACTTGCATTTAATTGTTGTAGCAGGTCGCGTTGAGTCTTATTGAAGGCTTCTAATAATTGGGCAAATTGAGCAGCATCCATCCTGAAGTTTTCCTATTTAATTTTGGTTAATACCCTTTTCCGCTTTTTATTATTGATGCATTAATATTTATTTTACTCTTTTTTACTCGTCGCCACTTTTCTATTCCTTATTTGAAAAGTATGTAAGTAATATACACGCGTTTTTTTTTTAATAATTCAATACATCTAGATTCAACGAACTTAAAATTAAGAATAACAATAGAAAAAGGAATGCAATAACTATTATTTGCATTCAGTGTTGCCATATTAATATAATACCAACAATGGGTCATAACACTGACTCAACACCATTAGGGCAAATGATCTGAGACCTATCTTTAACGTACGATAGTATGAGTTTGCAGGCTGACAAAGAAAATGCATATTTTGTTCGAAGTTTATCAATTATCCTCAAATAATTTATAAAATTGAATGCTTTTGTCAGGTCTAAAGAAACGAGAATACTAATTTAATAATAGTGTTTCGCAAGAAATCGCATAATACAAATTCGCATTAAACTATACACTAGCATTAAACAATTCACTTGGGTTTTAAATAAGAAAGCGCATACAACAGAATTGCATATAAAAGTTCAACGAAAATGTAATGCTCCACTGAGACCATAAAAAATTAAGAAAAAGAAACAAACATAATACGAATTCAAATTACAAGGAAAATATATAAAATTTTTAAGTAATTTAAAATAATATTCATATGTAACATTGCTTCTTGAGTTCAAATTTTTTTTATAGATATTCCACTCGCATCCCACTAAGTATCCCCAAAGCACTTTGAGCAAAAAACAAGCAACAAAAACGTCCATTTTGAAAAATGAGGGAATAATTAAGTGCCAAATATTGACAAAAATCTTATTCTTAATTTAAGAAATATTTTTTTGAAAAACTGTGTCTGGCCTACTATTAAATAGTACTAACCTTCATCAAAATAGGAAGACAACGATTTTTAAAGTTGGGCCACTTGACACGAAATGACCTACAGTGCCGGCAAAAAAATAGAAACAAGGAGTTTTT